AATTATCGAATTATATTTAGATTTGACAATTCCGGGGGGACCACGTGTACCATAATTTATTATACGATTGATAATCATTAATTTCGATGCAAAATCACATTTTATAATCATAATAAACTAAAATAAAAATGTCAAACTTTCTCATGAAGTTTTAAGTTCGTACCTAGCGAATAAGGCATGTTCGGTACTTTTTGGATTAGCTCGAATGGCAAATGAACAATGTTCCAAAAATGGTACACATAATGTTAAGATATTTTCTTATCAAATAACCTATCAAATTTAATTATTTTCTGGGAGTATATCGTTCAAAAATGTTATTTTTTAATGCTGTCATCACGGATATCATTTGTGGTTTTGAATAATCCTTTCAGTGAAATTTTAGCACTGATAAATGGCACCAACAATTATACAAACAGGTATATTTAATAATAACTATCAAATAAACCTTAGACTGACAAAAATAATCAATAAATAACTTGATCCCAAGTAATTGCTTTTGTGGTACCTTTGCAGTAAATTAGTTTTTTTTTATTCGAAATTTGTTATAATATTTTAAATTTAAAAAATGTATTAATTTTTTACAAATTTTTTAATTTAAATTTAATTTTAAATGTAGTTTTTTGATGAATCTTCTGTACCAATATAATAGACAGAATGTCACTGCTGGAATACAGATTGGTCGGTATAACCATCTAATGTGATATCTATACTACACAACGAGTTCTCAAAACTGTAGTTTCACAAATATTACTTATTTTTTTTGTCTAATTAGCTGACTATTATTTTAAAGTAGGTAAACTTGACGTATACAGTTACTAAAATAAATTACATTTTTTGAAATTCAAATTCTGGTACGATTATTTGAAAAATCTAAGTAAATGTAATCCTTATTTGTACATAATAATCTAATTATAGCTTATTTAGCAGTTTTAATTATTCTTCTAAAATCATGAAACGTGGTGTTGCAAAAATGCATGTTATTATTATTTCAAGTATCTATTTTTGCATTTAATAATATTTATTGAAGAACACGTTAGGTTAGTTAGTAATACGTTAAATAAAAATTTAGCAATACATGTTTATAATTAAATTATGTATAATTGAAGTGAGTATTAAATTTCATTAAAACAGAATAAAATGTAATAAAAGCCAAATAATTCAAAGTATTTTAGAAATAAAAATTAGTCAAAGCTATAATATTAGATAAACGTCTGTAAATCGATATGTCAAATGGTTTCACTTACAGTGGATCATTGTGTAGTTAATATGCATTGCTTTACCTAATTTAGGTAAGAGTGTTTTGTGAAGGTAGATAGTATGTATTAGAAACTAACCAACAAACCAGTTCCCATTTTCCATGGTTTGTAATATGTGGATTATTAAAAAAATACACGTATTCGTTTTAATGTACAGGTTTATAGTTTATACTAACCTATACTTGTTATTTTCAAAGAATTGAAAGCAGTATTAACTGGTTTAATATATTTTTAAATGCTACCTATTTTTTATTGAAGATTATTGATAAACACGATTATTGTCGTCTCTCAATTGGTTCAATGTAAGTGCTTTTAAAAGTTACATCTGAACAAATATTTTTGTATGTTAGAAGTTGTTGATCATGCTTTTTAGTTATGTATTTGTTTAATAATATATTTTTGATAACTTGGAAACATGTTTATCGGTTGTAGTGTTTGCTATCTCGTTGACAAATGTAAGAAGTGCTTTAGATTTTTATGGTATAAATTATATAAAACCATATTTTTTTCGTTTCTTAGTCGTGTATCATTAAGTAATATATCTCCCGAATATTACTGAAAATAAGTATATTATATTTGATAAATATCGGTGCCTGACTTCCCGAACTTCTAGAATTCGCTATAGTGTATTTTTTTATAAATTACTAACAAAATATTTTTATACCTTTTACAATTTCAGTATCGTTCAAAGATAAAATTGAAAATTGAGCTCCAATATTTTATTTTGAAATACGGTTTTGGTAAATTTATTTTATTACTTACCAACAATTTTAAAATTGTCAAATCCAAAATTTCTAAATTCGGGGTTGCTATGGACATATTGTTTAATTATATGCAATAATTCATTTTCTTAAAATTTTATTTTGTTATATGATGTACAATATTTAATTGTAGCTTTTGTTATTACATAATTAATTATATAATTAAGGATGTATGTAACTTGGATTGGTGGAATATTGTGATTTGTGATACTAAATGCATTCGAATTGATGGTGCTTATTGTTATAAATATTTTAGTTATTTTAAATATGAGATTATGTTATAGCATAGTTTTTAGACATTATAGGCCGTGGCACATATTTAACGTGCAGCAACAAACTTAATATATTCTGCGTAACTGACATTTTGAAAAGAAATTACACTTAAAAGTTGGTAACAATTATGTCTATGTATCTTATATGCTCATTGAAAATTATGTTTTAAATGATTTATTTTAGGAATTATGTCAATTGAACACCCTTTATTGTTGTAGGTTTCTAACAATATCTTGTTAATGCATTTTAATTATGATGCATTTTTACAGGAATTTCGTTCAATATTCATTCAAGTAGTAATGTAATGACCACTGTTATTTACCTATTATATATTTATATATTTTAATCTACGACTGTCCGATATTATGATTTATTTTAACAATCCTTAATCTTTTTTTTTTAATCACGGAAACGAGATCCCTGGTGAAAGATTTTTAGAAATCGTAGACCATTATAATTTTTTTTTTAATATCTTTTTTACAAAACATCTTATTATTGATTATAAATACTATTACTTTGTAATCAATGATCTCATGTTATTATAACCAAAATTACAATAATGATTTTATATTACAAATTACATTAGTAGGAATTATAAAACATACACATATATAATTATTTTGGACCTTTTCCGTTAATTCACTATCCTTTTTTTTTTTCTTTGGTTTTACAGTTTTTTTTTTTTTAGATTATTATATATTATATTATTTTAATTCCGGGGGCATGAAGTGTGCAATATGTTGTAGCATTGTTTCAAATAAATTATTAGGACCGTATTGCTTACGCCACGCATACTCGACCAAGTAACTGTTAAGAATTGGTACCCCAACGATTTTGTTTGTCAGTGAGTTGCAAAACCATTTAATATTTATTTTTACATAATCACGGATTATGCAAAATGCTACGGGCTTGTAAATAACTCACTGCATTATTCTTTGTATCGCATTCGCTAGCTATAATACTATGCTTATAGAGTAAGCTGATTCATGGTTATCTACGCAAATCCAATCATCTGACTGACCGCTGAATGCGCTGTCTCTCCCTCCAGCGTTCTTTCAAAGCGATAAGATAAGACAATAGTATGATATAGTTTTAAAATTAACGGAAAAATCAAAAAAAAAGTAGTGTTAGTGAATAATATGTAATAATCTAATAAAAAAAAAAAAATAACTTCTTTTTTATCATCAACGTCGGAATTCTTTATTTTTAATTTTAGTCAACTTTTTAACTTAAATGTTTTTAAAACGATTTGAATATGATGCTTCAAACCCCCAGGGGTCCGCGGACCACAGGTTAAGAATCGCTGATTTATTTGATTAAATTTGATTAAATTGTCATAAGTATGTGTGGTTATCGTCAATTGACGATTATTATTTCTATGATTTTTTTTTTTTTTATTAATTTGTCATTGTATTTCTATGATAATTTATCGAATTATATTCATGACATGAATTGTTTTAACGGAACACGCATATTAAAAATAAATCTATTGTTAGCGAAAATGAATATGATAATGAAATTGTATTTTGTTGTGTCGGAAATGTTTTTATATATAACAATGTATTGTTCCTAATCTAGGAAATGTGTATAACATGCATAGAATTGTAATTCAGATAATGTTACTTTAATGATAGTAAAGAAATATCTGTTATTGATTTGATTTATTTTTACTACTTTTAAACTATAGATTTTTATTATTGGATTAAATTATTGACACATGATGTATTAATTAAATTCGTATTGGGAAATAAAAAAATTCCTTGTTTATTGAATTATATAACTTGTTTTAAGTGGTGCTTGATTTGTTCAGGTGATTTAATGATATAATAATTATATCATACATAGATACATATATATTATAGATACATTTAACGATTAGAATTATTCTAATCGTTAAATGTATCTTAAGTTCTCCATAATCATATCTTATCTGATTTATCTACCGCTCAGGTGTGGCTTTTATAATAAAATATAATATTTATCTATGTTCCAATGGGTTATTTTGCTATCGAAAAATATAAAGCAAACACGTGATAATACGCGTGTTGATTTGTCGGTTAATTAACAAGTGTAAATCTATTTTTATTAAATATAATATTTCAATAGATATTTTTGTAAAAAAAATCAGTAGATTTACATCTTCATGATATCTATGTTGTATAAATAAATTTATAAAATTGAGATATTTTAAGTTAACATTAATTCTATTTACGATATCAATGAAATTATGAATAGTGAAAGAAGTAATATGAATTCGTTTTTTTGAATTTATGACGAACCTTAGAGTAAATGGCCTTCATTAATCATTTATGTAGTTAAATATTTAATACTTGAAACTTGATTATTTTAATTTTATTGAAGTGTATATTCGCAACTTGGAGTATAATATAATTTTTCTTTTAACTTTTAATTTTTATTTCACAGAACCAATTTAATTTAATTCCTATAATTTACAGTTTTAGTCCCCCCTCTCCCCTAATCAATATGAATCTTATTTTTTTTTTTTTTTTTAGTTTAGATTAATAACTTTAAATTGAACAAAATATTCATATTTAAAGAGTGAAATACGAAAAAATATTGTTAGTCTGTTGGTATAAGAAATTTATTTTTTACTAGATATCTGGTATATTTAATAGTGCATTAAGTAATTATGTAATATACTTGATCAAAATATAATTAGTTGTTGAACTACAATTTTTTAATTTCACAGGTACCTATATTGAATCTCATACATTTTTAAGATGGGAGTACAACTAAGAACGAAGACCGAAGAGAAGGCTGAGCCACTTATTGAAAATAACAACAAAGAAAGCACAGAGGAATTAGAAGAATTTAAACCAGAAGCTCCTCAAAAACGTGAAATATTGTGGGCCACAGCTATATATTTGACCACTTGGCATGTCTTGGCGGTTATCTGTACCATACTCTACTGGAAGAATGTTAAACTGATGACCATTGCATGGAGTAAGTACAACTGTTATTATTTATTGAATTGACATTTAGTTTTTTTTGGGTTTGGATTTTCACTACTTATTATTTAATTAAAAAGATTACTATAATTGTTTTTTTCCCTTTTTTAATAATTCCTTAAACTCATTTATATAACAAATTTATTCTAGAAAATATATTTTGACTAATAATAGGTATCATAAAAAAGAGGAAAATAAAATTGTTTGATTATAATGCATTATATTAAAGTTAAAAATTCTGATTTTATTTGTATCCTGATCAATCCAAAGTTTTTTTTTATTTTATTGTTTATTATTAAAAAGGTCATTATTGTTATTTTTTTATAGCTTAAATAAGTATGTTATTTGTTTAATTTGCGAGGAAAAAGGTGGAAATTAAAGTGATATTATTAAGTACTATTATGTATCTTGGTTTTTATATATAAATTTAATATAAATAAATTGAATTGCTATTAAATTATTTTTTCTTATTAGGTCTTCTTGTTGGATTTACTGGACAGTTTGGTGTAACAGCTGGTGTCCATAGATATTATACTCACAAATCATTCAAAGCCAAAATCCCTTTGCAAATTATACTTCTTGCTTGCTATTCAGTTGCAGGACAGGTAATTCAAACTATTATTTTTAATATTTTATTAAATAAATTTAATTAAGTTATTAAATCTAATAATAATAATAACAACCTAACATATTCTATATTTGTGTTCCAGTACAGAGTAACAGATTGGGTTCATGATCACAGATTGCATCACAAATTTAGTGATACAGATGGTGATCCTCATAATGCTAGAAGAGGATTGTTCTTCTCTCATATTGGTTGGTTGATGCAGCGTGGACACCCAGAAGTATTTCGTCGTAGTAAAACCATTGATATGTCTGACATCAACAATGATCCTTTAGTCCAATTTCACACTAAGTAAATTTAACTTCTTAAACATGACAAATCATTTTTTTAATTCAATTTTTTACAGATATTATTGGTTCTTCAAAATAACACTTTGTTTTGTTTTGCCTGTACTTGTACCTGTTTTTTGTTGGAATGAAAGTTGGATGGAAGCTATTGGAATCAGTGGTGTATTGCGGTTTGTGATTTTCACTAATATGACATTTTCGATCAACAGCTTTGCTCATTTTTGGGGATCTAAACCATACGACACGTAATTTACTTCTTTAATGCAAGACCGTTTTATTATTTTTATTATTTATTAAATTTTATTTTGCAGGCGCATTTTACCTGTGCAAAACATGGCTTTGGCTATATTGACTACTGGTGAAGGCTGGCACAACTATCATCATGCATTCCCTTGGGATTATAGAGCAGAAGAGTTTGGAGGTAACATGACCAATCCAACCACCTTGTTATTGGATATGTTTGCTAAAATTGGATGGGTATATGACCGCAAAACACCATCTGCGGAGCTTGTCAAACAAGTTGCTAGTAAGCATGGCGATGGAAGTTGGCAAGAAGTTCCAGTTGAATGCAATTAGATTATTATCATTACTAATGCATTTTTCTAATTTATAAGACTTCATCAACTTTTAAATGCCTTCATAGAATGTTATTTAATATCTTATAATTATGAAGACTAGAATACATCTATGTTCACCTATAAATTGATAATTACTGAAAATGGCATCCAGTATTTCAATAGTTTTTGTTTTATTTTAAATTTGGTGTAATTTTTTAGTTTTTATTTTTGTGTGAATATTAGCAACGCGATTGGGTAAAAAGTACTTGCATCTTTACAAACATATTTAAATTTACTTATGTATATTATTGCCCACTTGATATTTATTTTAAGGATAATTTACCATTACAAGTATATATTACTGATAGCTTTTTGAAGTATTTAATTAAATATGGTGATTGTGGAAACAATCAGCACATTGTGCTAATAATGCTCAAACATTAGTACCCAATCGTGTTCATTGCCCAAAATTTAGATAGGTATTGAGTATAATTATTTATAATAAAAATTGGTACATTTCACAATGAGCTTATGAATATGACATTAGGTCATGAATGCAAAAAAGTATATATATGAAGGATATGTGAACATGATATTGTAAAGTCGCACTAGGTCTATGTGACATTTTTTATAATTTCAATCTGTTCAGTAAAGATTTTAACTATAGATTTTTAATTCATGAATACTGGACATTGATAAGATTTATATTATTAAGACATAAATATAATTAATGCAAAATTTAATTGTAAATTCTATAATATTTTTTACCTTGTATTAATTTCTTAATCAAAACTTCATTATTATTGCTCTGATGTTGATTTAGTTAACATTGTATTTTGTCTATATCTGTATTTTTTACATAAGCAAAATATATTATTTTAACAGATTCCACTAAGAAATCAATGATTACTCTAGTTTTTATTTATGAATATATTATATATTCATTGTATATTTTTTAAAATATAGATAGCAAAATTCATGTTCACATAAACACATATATTATACACATCATAATATTAAGCCCTAAATAAGTATAGGTGTAGGCAATTTTGATTTTCCAGTGTTCTTTCATTTAATATAATATTATGATTATGAATATTAATAATTAGACATAAAATGAAGAACTGAAATAAATAACATTTTATTTACAATTAAAACAAACATACAAAAATCAGTATTGTTTGTTAATGAACATGCTAATTAAGTTGATGGTGTGAGTATATTTTAATATTAATGAAAACTCAACTAAAATGCTGATAGTTTATTTCAATGTACAAAATATATGAATTTAGTGGCTATAGTATTATGAGAAGCTATAATCATAGTTTAACGAGCATTATGTTTTAATTTTTTTTTATAAACATTTTTAAAACTACTATTAATAGAACTTTTAGATGGTAGCTTGGATATATTTTAATCTATTATAATAAGTATATAGATATGCTTAAACTTATATTGGCATAAATAATTTTTCTCAATTTTTTTTTTCAAATCGTATCTTAATCTTAGCAATATGACTGAGATTATTTACCTTTATACCAATATAAGTAGTCAAGATGGTGGAGTATAAAATCCCACTTGGGTTTTGTAAATTGTTTTTAATACTTTTATAAATTGTGTAAAACATTGACATTTTAGTCATAATTTAATATGCAAAGTACATCAAAATAACAAAATATCTTTCCCGCTATATGATTAATAAATGTTTAAGACTTGATATGTATATTTAATGCTCGATTATTGTTAGGTAAAAAAATTTATTTAATTGACTAAGGATAAAAACGATGTTGTATTGATAGCCTTAGCATGGTTGATGAGTGTATTACAGCTGTTCTTATTCAATGTTAAACCATTATTAATATATTATTAGCATAATAATAATTAGTGATCCATTAATAATGATGTACATTTGTTAAATTAGTAATGACCATAATATGTTGTGAATTAATATATTCATGTGTATATTATTAATATAATCAGAATGTTTGGTATCGACAGAAAATGTTATAAGGTCAACCAATCCAACTCGACCTAATAATTTATTTGGTGTTCAATCGATTTAAAATTGTCACTAATTAGGAAATATTGATGGGGTCAGGATCCGCGATAGTGATTTGTGTAAATATGATTTACCGTTTTTGCGCATGGTCAATGCGAAAACTCGAATCCGTATTCCCCCATGTTATCTCCGCACATTGTGGCTTTGACGAAGTTTATTCTCGAAAATGCCTTGATCGATCTCTACGAGTGAAAACCGCGATTACACAATGCGAACAGAATTGCAAACATACGTCGTCATAAAGATTTTAAAAATAATATTTTTAAATTAAGCAAAAAAATGAAAATAAATGATTTTCTGCATGGAGTACGTTAGTCGTACAACTAAATCTACATTAACAATTGCGATTGTACTGTATTACATAGTTGTGAATTGTTATCCGCGTTCATTTTCCAGGATTAATTCGTTCTCCCCATTGAATATAAAATATATAATATGTAATACATAATTTTTTTTTTATTCTGTGCGTCGTACCTAATATCTACGTACGTGTACGAATATTTCGAAATATTTCTTTTCTTTGCAGTATAGCGTATATTGTTCCGGGCGCATACGTGTTTTTCGGAAAAGTAAGTAGTATGTGACGCAGGTGTTATTCAATTTCGTATTCAGCACAACGTGTTTTCGGATGTGTGTTCGAACGACTGCGTCTTCTGTAAGGTTGTGTTCCGAGAGAGAAAAAATAACGTTACTCGATCGTTGCGAATTAGAATAATCGCTTGTTCCCAACGATATTTCGTTTGTATCGTGAACAACAAATAGATATCCTATAAGTCTAAATCTTTCAAAAATAAAATTTTAATTTAAGTCGTTAACGATGTTGGCAAAACGTTAAGCAATAAAGAAAAAAAACTAAAATTTTTAACACACGAACAATTCTTTAGCAGACGAAAAAATTTTTTTTTTATGGGGGGGGGAACAACTTTTGAAATTTACCAAATTTTCCGGTAAAAGGTTAGTTATAAGCGAATAATTCATTTCAATTCGTTTGTATAGATTATATACATCGATTGTATATGTGCGGTGGGTACCTACGATCGTTATAATATCTATACATTTATACGTTGCTTATGACGCAATTTATATAGGTATATAGGTACTGTATGTTATGTACAAGTTCAATAATCTGAAACGAGTTATCGATTTGTATTTTAACATCTTAAGTAAGGAATTAATTAATTACACAGATAATGCGGGGGGCATGCCGAGCAAGAGGTTTTTCGCTTCAAATTGTCAAGTATTAGTTTTCGTCGAGATAACCGTACTCCTTAAAAATTGCAATATTGCTACAACTAAATTTTAACTAATTTTAATTCATCGGTGTCAATGTTTCAATATGCATTTGATAGTATCGTTTGAAACACTTTTTGTTTTGTGAATCATTCAACAAATTCTCCTCTTTCAAATACAATTTTTTGCACGCATCTGGATTATAATGATAATATTTAGTGTGAATGTTTGTGCTTGTTAGATACATCATGAATAATAATACAATATATTGTATATTATATGCACGTATAGTCAATATGTATTATTACGTCGGTAGTTAGATGTTCGTGTACTGTGTAGCAAATAATAAATCTTTGAATGTTATTGTCAAAGAAATATATTTTATTTTAAAATTAAAATTTTAAAAGTATACGTTATACACTGTATTATCTAAATAAATATATATATATATATATATATATATTTAAGTGTATTAATATATATATTATATAAACTTTTCTACTAACGGTACACAATAACACATTGTCGAGTTTGAAGTTTTAATATCGATAGTGTTTGGTAATTATGTATACAAGCCCATCATTATTGATTTTATGTGAAAAATTGGATGGAAAAAAATTGTTAACTACGTAATTATTTGTTTTTGAGTTATATTTAGAACTCTAGTGCTATAAATATATAAGAGTATAAATAATCTAATAAAACGGATTTAATGTATAAGTACCTAGAACAATCGATGCGATTTAGATCGTAATAAATGATTTTAAATAATGGCACACAGTGAAATCTGTCCACAAGCGAATCCTGAATAAGTTGGATACCTGTACACAACGGAAATGGTATCTAATCCCGTCTTATATTATTTTATGAATATTACACTGGACACTGGACTTGTTAAAATGGAGTACTAGTATTAGGTTTTATGCGATTCCGTCGTAGAGATTTTTGTTTTTACTGTACACGCGTTCGGAACACTTGAGACTAATCGGCAGTGCGTTGTTAAATAATTTAATATTGTTGAACTATTATCAATGTTGAAAACATATGCTGCAATTCGATCGGCGTTAAATAACCAACAGAACTATACGTTAAATGTATAAGACGCGCGTCGTCAAAGCCCCTTTTAAATCTTGCCGAATCCCGACGGGACATGGTTCCAAATATTAAAATACGAAAGTCCTGTAGTCAAATTATTTCAAAGACAAATTTAAACAAGTTATAAATAGTTTTTTTCGAACATACTTGCTGCATTGTGATTCGAAACGAGAAAACGCGTTGCAAATAAATCGTCCACCGAATCTATAACAATGTGTTATGATCGGACCAGGATTAAAGTCGGCGATGACTGGGGCCAAATTTTTTAGCGGGCAAATATTTCGGTCAGCATTAAAAATACTTAAGGGACATTTCAATTAGATTAGGTCAACATTTTAGCCATCGAGAATATCAAATTTTATTATAAGAACAGCCGTCTATTATTTATATATTTTATAATATATTATTACAAAAAAATATTTTTGTGATTTTTATTTTCCTCAAATTTATTTCAAATTCAATATGAGCTTTTTCTCATTTACATTATGACTTTTTTTTTTTTTTTAGTGTACATATATTATAATATTATCCGAAATGTTATACTGGTTTTATACAAATCAAAATTAAACAATACATAATAGTAATATATGTTTAATTTAAATTCAAGCTTTAAAATATTTGTAATTAACTTTTAAACTTTTTCATTAGGTACCAATTGTATCAAAAACTACACGACTTTAAGAGCAGTATTTACCAGTGTCGTTATATATTCAATTTAAATAGCATTTAGTTTTTGTAACGTTGTTATTAAAATTAATTTTTTTGGTTATTTGATACTTACAATATAAATACATATTAATCAACTACTCTAATACATAAAATAAACTTTTTCAATGCCTAAAACAATTTAAATAACACTATATCTACCTCATTGAAAATGGTTATGATTGATACAATGATAGTATGTATATATTATGAAGGGGGTATTAATATCGTCATCGTTACTTGACAATCGTATTGTAAAAAATTGTCAAAAAAAGGTCGAATATTTTAATTTTATTCCTCAAGATTGTTTTTTCCTTAAAAAATATCTAGTAAACACATAGCGCATTGGTAATGTTCATCAAAAACATTTTAGTCACCATACAGTTGTAGCTGTAACGCCCAACGAAGAATCAATTACAATTCCCAATCCTA